TTAGATGAAAATGGATTGATAATCGAATATGTTCGATCTATTACCTTTGATTAAATATCGCAACGGAGAAGTTGTCTCCCTTTTCTTTTGGAGCTCTTAATTTTATTTTATTTTTTTTCACAACCATTCTTTGGAAATTTAAGACTTCAAAGCAGTATTTTTCGTTTCTCATATTTTTGTTTCCGCCAAATTTCTTAGAAAATCATTATGATACATTTCCGATTTTAAACAATTTACCAAATGTCCGGAAGAAAGCTGGATACCGTTTCTGGCCCAAAATTTCAGGGATCGAAAAACTATTTCTATTTTAATCATTGTGAAGGAAAAGTAAATTTTAAAGTATATTTCTGTCTTGATAAGCCTAATTGGAGTAGCATTTCAATTTAATAGACTTTTTCTTAATTTTGGGCTAGTGAATAATTTATAATTAGATGGTATAATAAGTTATCTGATTTAATGCCAATTTAAGCTGAAAATGCCTTATTGCAACTTAATGTTAATTTTGAAATTTGTTTATAAAATAATGGCATGGTCCGCATAAAATATGTATATTTTTTTATTTTAATACTTTTGAAACCTTTACGTTGGGTAAATATAACAAAAAAAGATCTAATTTCAACATTGCCAAAGTGATTACGATGGAAAAAAATATTATATAAAAAAGATTATATAACCAAATATTTTGATATTCTGTCGCAATTTTAGCCAGTGTTTTTAACATTTCAATTTGGAGAAAATAGTTGGCCTTCATGTTGACTACTTAATTTTATTTTGCGGAAAAATGATCTTTCAAAAAACTACAATTTCAAAAATTATTTCTCAAATACGTAACACACATACATTCTCTCTCTCAGGAACATAAACATATATCCACACACGTACAAATATTTGCACATATTCGTATACATGACCGGCCGCTCTTATTCAAGTATGCCTGTCTATTAAAACGGCTAGACAATTCCAGTTGCAGATGGCTGCTCAGGCACATTTATGTTTGTTCAACACCCAAACACAAGCAAGTACTCATGAACAGGTACTCGCATATGCCTAATACAAGTGGAGGTTCTTAATAACTAGGATGTCGGGGTGTTTTTTTTTTTTTTTTCTAAATATGCAGTAAACGTGAGGAGGGGGTCTTTTAATGGCCAAGAATTGCGAAATTAAAAAAAATTAAAAAAAAAACAGGCGGGCTTAATAAAAGGTAATGGGTCGGAAAATTTCCTAAAATAAATGAACGTCGTCCCTTCTGTTTGGCACCTAACGGGACAAAAAAGATATACGCACCAATGTACAGAAGAATTTCTATGGCAAAATAAATACCGGATCGAACATCTGTTAGCCTTACTAATTAGTGTTAAGTTGGTTTCAGCCATAATGGATCACACACATTAAATTTAAATTCGATAAATCTAGACCTTTCCTACTATAATTGCAATTACAGTACATTTTGTCTTTTCTATGCCCTTGGAAAAGAGTAAAACGAAAAGAAACAGCAAACCAAATAATTGTTTTTAAACTGAAATATAAACGGACAATATTTCCTCATCTCCGATAGATATAGACTGAGATATTATAAAAAGAACAATATTTGCTCATCTTAAAGCTTAACTTATTATAATCCCGTTTGTTGCGCCCTTATTTAGCACGAAGATTATGCCCTGCCAATACCTCATAAATAATGGATTATTACGTTTGGATCGTGTAGAAAGATGGAAAAGGCCTATCAGAGATGCTACTTGGTTTCAGTAAGAAAAATAAAGAAAGAAGGAAAGATATAAATGTTTAACGTCTCTTAACAATACCTTATAAATAATGGACTATTTGTGTGGAAAGACAGAAACAACATATCAGTGACGCTACTTGGTTTCAATGAGAAAGAAAGAAAGAAAGAAAGAAGAGACGATATGTGTTTAACGTCTCTTGCCAATACCTCATAAATAATAGACTATTCCGTTTTGATCGCGGGGAAAGACGGAAAAGACATATTAGAGACGCTACTTGATTTCACTGAGAAAAAACAATTAATGAATGAAATAAAGAAAGAAAAAAAGTAAGTTATAAGTGCTTAACGTCTCCTTCCAATACCTAATAAATAATGGACTATTCATTCTTGATCGCGGGGAAAGACGGAAAAGACATATTAAAGACGCTACTAGATTTCACTGAGAAAAACAATTAATGAATGAAATAAAGAAAGAAAAAAAGTAAGTTATAAGTGCTTAACGTCTCCTTCCAATACCTAATAAATAATGGACTATTCATTCTTGATCGCGGGGAAATATGGAAAAGATATATTAGAGACGCTACTAGATTTCACCGAGAAAAACAATTAATGAATGAAATAAAGAAACAAGAAAAAAAAGGAAGTTAGAAGTGCTTAACGTCTCCTTCCAATACCTAATAAATAATGGACTATTCCTTTTTGATCGCGGGGAAAGACGGAAAAGACATATCAGAGACGCTACTTGGTTTCAGTGAAAAAAAATGAAAGAAAGAAGGCAAGAAAGGAAGGAAAACAGGAAGATAGAAGTGTTTAACGTCTCCTGCCAGTATCTCATAAAGAATGAACTATTCCGTTTTCGTGGCGTAGTAAGACGGAAACAAACATAAGTGAGATAATCCTTGATTTAAGTGAGAAAATTAAATAAAAAGAATAAAGAAAGACAGAAAGAAAGGAGGGAAGATAGACGTGCTTACCGGTTGTTTTAGTGAAATGAAAAAGTTGCCAATTTCAAATCTCTTCCATTTGTATCCCCTTTCTTCTTAAAATAACAACCAGCATTCCTATTTATGATTGTTATTGCAATAGTTTGTTAAAGTTGTTAAGCTCAAATACTTAACGATACGATAATTTATTGTCGTTAAACTCGCCATGAACTTATTCAATCATTAAGAAGTAAGATTCATCAGAAAAGTCAAATAGGAACACCGTGAATTTTTTTACCGGTCTTTCTAGTATTCTTGAATATAAACGACTAATATTTACCTAACTCTGAGCTAAGTAAAGGATTACAAACTCAAACACGAAAACAATATTTTCTTATACTCGAACGAATAAATACTTATATATTTAAATATAAACAGTCGATATTTATCTATATCCCAACAAAGTAAATACTTACAGACTATAATATAAGCAACCAATATAACCTATTTGCTAACCAATAAATACTTACAGTGTTAAATATAAACCACAAAATTTTACCTATCCCAGGACCAACCAAATGCTTAAAGACTCAAATATAACCAACCACTGTTTATTTATACACGATGGAACAAATCCTTATAGACTCAAATATAAAATCCCAATATTTATCTAACTCTGAAACAAGTTAATACCCATAGTTTCAAATATAAACGACAAAAAATTACCTATCCCGGATCCCAGTAATTGCTTATAGCCTCAAATATTAAAAAAAAACAAAACAAACTCCGGCATTAAAATGACTCAGAAAGACATAACATAGCATTAACTTTAACCATACCAACCCAATCCAATTATTTAGATGAAGCACTTTTCATTACTTATTTTTGACTAGTTTTTTCTTTCATCATATTTGTATTGCATTTTATTACAAGCCTCAGGTCGTTTTTGCATTGTACGACCATTAAGTAAGCAGCTCGGATTAGAAGTAAAGTATTATTTTACGAAGTGTTTGAATTCACATATCTTATTCTCTGGAATCTGTATGATATTTACAATGTGCTATCAAGTAAAACTGATTGATGTTTACCTTTCGTTGCCTAACTGGCAAGGGACCGTTCCAATCAGACAGGTTCCCGTAGATAAAGGATGCGAGTTGAAAAAATTCGTCGGGTGTTTATTCTTTATTTTTTATTCATGCTACTAACTTAGCGGCCATAGGATGCGGAAAAAAAACAGTGACAGAATGTAGCAAAAATAAAATGAATAAAGAAAACGGTAAAAAATGAATAATAATGATGATGATTCATCTGAGAAACTTTGGACAGCTATTTAGTTTGTTACAAAAATAATAGTGAAATAATGTAAGATTAAGTTAATTTGTTCGTTTTTAACCAAGGTAAATTTTGTGTTTATTGCTTTTAAAATGGCGACCTTTTCTGGCTTTGTGTAAAGAAAGTTTTTTGCTGAATGCATGACCATTTTTCCTGTTGTCTCAAGCTTGCAATTTTTTTTTAAGATACAGTTCTATTATAGCAGTGGTTCCCAAACTTTTTTCGTGTTGCCACCCACTTGTATACCAAAACACAATCCTAACGACCCAAATGTATAGTCAACCTTCGATTGAATTTACTTGGTGTTAGTGGTGCATGTCAAATTAGTATCGTAGTATATCTTAGTATATCCCATAATATTTTTTTTTTATATAAATGGCATACACTGTAAAGGGAAGGCAAGTGACACTTCAAATACAATATGTGTGGTGCGTGCTATGGTTCAGATGTGCCATTGCCACCCTATGCCTTCCCTCTTTTTCTCACCCCCCGGATCTTTCCCAGGTTTAGAGCGGTACCGTCCATTTCGGGAATCACTGTACTATAAATGAACCAACCAGAGCAACAAACTTTGTTTAATAATATTTGTGCCAATATGAATGAATAATTAAACGTGGAAATATATACCTCGTTTTTTTCTGGGTCTTTAACAGCTATCAATTCGTTAAATGAAGCCAATAAACTACATTGCTACTGCTATTATCATTAGTGTTTAAGTTAGTATTAATTGCGTTTTAATACTATTATTATCATTATTATTATTATTATTATTATTATTATTACCGGGAGTAGTATTTTTTATTGAGTGATTCGTTTTTTACGGTTTATCAACCCTTTGCTTGACAGAAAATATTTTTAGATTGTAGGCATTTTTGAAGATAATAATGGTTTAGTGATACAAGTCTTACTAATTAACCCATAGCTGGGGGAGAAGAGGTAAAATCATACTTTTCCAAAAGGTATGCGTAAGTGAATAACATGGCTCTCCGGCCATTATACATTATACTACACGCACATCCAAGCTTACAGCATTTGGTACTCCCAAGCGATCGCCTATCTAGGTACTGACCAGGATCGACGTTGCTTAACGTCGGTGATCGTACAGGAAGCGTTGTTTCAACATGATATGGTTATATTAGTAGTATTAGTAGCAGCAGCAGTAATAGCAGTATTAGTAGTTACAATAGTAGTAGTTTTAGTGCTAGTACTGTTGGAGTGAAAAGGGAGCTTACACTGTGGTAGATATCACTATTTTTGAATAAGGACTTTATATTATGTGAGTAAAGGTAAGGGAAGAGACTGCACTGTAGCGATGATAGGTTAATGTTAGGATAACTATTATTATTATTATTATTATTATTATTATTATTATTATTACACAGTATGTTCCCATGAGATGTCTGATGGCAATCTCTTGAATGACAGGTTTCGTCAAATTCCCTGGAACCCTTCTTAGTATGCATGCAAAACTCAACAGAACTGTGGTGTTGATCGCCTCAATTGATATTTGAAAAAGCTTTTTGAATATGATGATCATAAGAAAATAATGAAAAGCTTTGTTTGTTGCTGTTGTTTTGAATCTTTCCACCTCTCAACTAAAAGCTACAACAACAGTAGCAACAACAACAGAATAATTTCAAACTTTTACATTCGGACCCCCAGCCAATCGGAGAGAGTGGGTAATAAAAGATTTAAAAAAAAAAAAGTGGACCTGCTCTCTAGTGGACGTAACTGTACGAATGGACACAGGATGAGATGCAGCTTTATGAAAACAAAATCGCAGGAAATAGAAGGACTTCGTCTGGGAGCTTAGAATCTGCTGGACATCGAAGGGTGAAGGGTGTACCATTAAATAGTAAGAGCGTTTGGATCAGTGACAAATTCACCAGAGTCAAAACTGGGGGATGGGGGATCGGGAAACCCAAAGAAATACAGACTGACCAAACGGCAGTAAATATATAAAACAATTTGTAAAACTTAACATTTTTTGACATGCTTCGCTGATCAAAGAATATCATCAGCAAAATGGATTTTACATCAAGCAAATCTACATTGTCGGGAGAGAACGCAATTTACGTTGGTAAAAAAATAATCCAGCGTTCATATGACCAAACCTGAATCACGTTCACGATGCCATTTCTAAACTTAGGTATTCTGGCTGCGACCCGGAAGGACATGATTATATCATATAAGTCAAAGGAAATAATAATAATAATAATCATGATAATAATAATAATAATAATAATCATGATAATAATAATAATAATGATAATAATATTAATAATAATAATAATAATGATAATAATAATAATAATAATGATAATAATAATTAATAAGATATGAAAAAGAAAGCCAAGGATAAAGCCCTGGATGAAACAACGCTATTTGCATAATATCCAGAACGTGCAAATAAACCCAATGCTAATACTCATCGATGGTTATATCTGGAAAAGTCTGAAACTTTTTATTCTTGCAGCGCAAGACCAGAGTCTTTTCATAGGAATTTTCTATCATAATAATTATTCTTCTGTGACAAATACCAAGAAACAATAGATGACAGAATATAAAATCGTCACGATAGAGTGGATTACTAGGACATTTTTGTCAAACACTGATTTTACAGAAATAGAAGATGTCACATTACCATCCACACAGACAGAAAAATTGAAGCAAATAGGCCGGACATCATTGTTTATATAATGATATGGCTTGTCCAGCGGATTGTAACATAGGATTTTGAAAAACTATCAAAATACAAAGACCTGAAATTAAATAAAAATGTTCTTACCATTTTATATTTGAAAGAATCCTAAACATATCATATTAATTATTAAGTATTACACACAAATTAACGCTAGCAACTTCATCGGAGATTTAACATGTTATTATTCTTGATTTCTATCGAATGATTGATGATATCTTTAATAATAATAATAAATAATAATAATCATGATAATAATAATAATAATGATTTATTAATAATAATGGTATTTTAATTACAAATGCTGAGTATAAATGTTTCTTATCTTTAATCTTATTCTCCACGATGACAGTATTATCGTTTTTGTCAAAGATATTGAATAATCCATAAGCTTATCATTAATAAAGTTCTTCATTTTATATATGTTATTATTCTTGATTTCTATCATTATTACTAAATTATATTTGATGTTAACCTGTGAATACATCTCTTATTATCGTTTTTATATGAATATCCATGCTATCATTATCAATAAAAGCACCTTTCGAGTGAATACTGTTCGTATTAACATTGTTATCTTTACTATACTTATATATATCTTTACTATAATTGCTGGTGGTTTTATAATATTTAATAGTCTCCAATTTTATCGCCATCATCCTTCAATTAAACAAATACTTTTTTTTAAATATTAAACAATGCATAAGGAATGCATTTAATTTTAGATTTTATTCTTTGGTATTCGTCTCCGAATATGTGTCTTTGCTTGATCAACTTTATTTATTTTTTTATTCTGAAGCTTATTTTTACATTTTATTTCTTCCAGTTGACACGTAGCGCACAAGGGTTTAATTTTTGTAGAGTTTGGGCGCATTAAACCTGGTTGGAAAGTACACTATTTACATTATTCCAGCTATTGTCCTCATCTTGGTCACCATATTTATTACAACGTTTCGGCCGTTGTACATTCCGGCCTTCTTCAGCTGGTTGGAATGTCGTGCCATGTTTTAATGGATTTCAGTTATCAGTTAACTAATAACTGACATCCATTAAAAACATGGCACGTGGAACTAGAACAGTCTACTCCAGTGAGCGAAATAAAGGGTTCAGGTCGATATTCTAACCACCTGATGAAGGCCGGATCGTACAGCGACCGAAACGTTCTAATAGATATAGCGACCAAGATGAGGACAATAGTCCGAATCAGGTAAATAGTGTACATAATATCTCATCTCAGAAATATAGAGAGATATTGTTGGAAAGTGTTGTAATAAATTCGGACCTCCAGCATTTTTTGTTATTTTTTTTGTTTTTGTTTTTTGTTTGTTTTTTTTACTTCACAATGTTTGAAAATATTTTCCTATTTTGAAAAACCAAATGAAATTTCGATGCTTTTTCCCGCTTCAGATACGAACAAAATTCTTCACTTTTGATTCAGAATATTTACAAGAAAAAAAAAAAAAAAAAAAACTTCAATATGTATATATGATATATTAAGAATGTCCCTAGAAATTTGCCGAAACAGATTAACCAACTTTTTTTTTTTTTTTTTTTTTTTTTTTTGTGGAATGGGGAGATATTTATGAGGCATCGAAATATTAGTTTGTATTTATTCATATTATTTGTATATACTGCTTTAATTCTTGCCAACAAATCTAAAGAAACAGATTCTGAGAACTTCCGAATGCTTGACCGATTCGGAATCTTCCACGGGTTGTTCAACTCATAATCAACCATTTGATACCTTGAACAATAAAAAAGAATCCGCCATTATTAACACCCAGGTTGGCAAACTCAGTACCCACCCCCAAAATTCTTTTCAGATTATTTCTGCGTTTTATTCTTGTTTGTCCAGTTTTACTATGGTTGTCTTTTCGACGATTAGTCTTCATATATGTCCTTTTTTGCCGTTTCACCTTTCTGATTTGTCATCTCCTCGACGTTCTCAGTTCCTGAACGTACGATCATCTTTTGCAGATTTCCTATAAGGACGCCATACTATCTTTATCAGTTTCCGTCTCAGTTGTGGTACAAATGGTTTTGGCGCCATGCGGTGAATTATGAACATTCAATTTGATGTGTTCGGTAAATGTACCTGGAATGAAAAAATAGGAAAAAATTATAAGTCAAAAGAAAATTATATATATATATATATATATATATATATATATATATATATATATATATAAGCAAATATATGGATATAAATCCGACAGTATGAAAGAAAAATACAGAAAAAACAAACAAAATCTGAATATGCAATTATGTAGTATTTATGTGATCATATTTAAACGGAACGCTGATCTGTATAAAATTTCAGTTATCTGTTTGGATCAGTTGGGCTCTTATGTCCATCGTCTTTTGTGTTAATAATTTTTATAAGTTCTAATGTTAATTATGTTTAAATGAAAATGTCCCTGATGATGGTCTTAAATAGACCGAAACGTCCGACGTCGACTTTATTTTAACATTAATACTACATAATTGCATATTCAGATTTTGTTTGTTTTTTCTGTATTTTTATTTCATATATATATATATATATATATATATACAGTATTTCTGTCAATTTATTAAAAAGTTACTGTTAGCCAAACTTTGAAGTAAAATATACAAAAACTACAAAAATCCCAGGTAGATAATCTTTTTTTTTCATTTTTTTTTTTAAATTTCGGGTAAAAAATGAACCAACCTAATATATTCTATTCATAAAAATACAAATTAATTTTATCTCAATCAATAAATAGGTTAGCATAATCGAATAGTTCTGAGAAGCGTCTTGATAGAGGACGCTAAGTGCGACACTGAGATCCGTAGATGTATTGGGATGGCCAAGCCCGCATTTCAAAAGCTAGTGAGAGTACTCCGAGACAGGGGAGTTTCTTTGGTAACAAAGAAAAGAATACTGAGCTGTTACGGGACATCTGTCCTTCTTTACGTCAGCGAATGTTGGACGATTTCCTCAAAGATGAAGAAGAGACTCGAGGCGACAGAGATGTGGTTCTACAGAAGGATGCTAAGGATGTCATGGACCGAGCGTGTGAGCAACGATGAGGTCTTACAGGGGATGAAAAGAAGGAGGGGGTTATACTTAACGTCAAGAAAAGGCAGCTGAAGTTCCTGGGATACATAATGAGGAAGTGGGGCCTGGAGAATCTGATACTCACGGGTCGAATAGAGGGAAAAAGAGACAAGTGAGAATAATGCATGACATACCTGGCAAAGTTAAGCAAGTGGATAGCGGAGAAAGCAGAAGGAAGGAAGCTGGTGAGAGCTGCAAGAAATAGAAGGAGGTGGAGAGCTATGATCGCCTACGTCCTGAAAGGACATGGTGCATTAAAAGAGAAAAAAGAATGGTAATATTTTCGTCTTAATGTGTTGTATACCCCCCTCCTGCTAGGAGGTCTTGGTCACTGTGACAATACAATGT